TTCCTTTTTTTGGGATACCCTGTAGATCTCCATCACCTTACCATCATTCTGGTTTACCAGACCCCATCTTATCTGCTGTTTGCGGAAGATCAAGACAAAGGGGGCATGCTTTTGCCGCACTCCTTACTTAGTTTTTTAAATGCTCCCTTTAGTCAATATTTTTAAGCAGAAAATGCAATATAGTAATTAAGATTGGTTAGATTCCCTCACAACTAAAGGTTAGCTCAAAGTGTTATTTCTAAATATGCGAAGGGCTGCAATAAAGTAATGCTTCAGAAACAATACAAACTTTTTGAAGGCTTTCGATCTTAGCCAATTAACCAATCTGACGCAGTATTTGAGAATTTGAGTGATTGAAAAGGGTCATCTGGTTTTTATTTGATACAATAGCATGTTTACATTATGATATCAACTAAAAAAACAGCAACTCCACGGAGTAGCAGATCCCACCGAACCGCAGTTGAGTTACCAAAGATTACGAAAATGAAAATGAAAAATGGCAGCCATTCTGAAGATCAGCCGCCATCTTAAAAAAATTTTCTCGAACAGAGCTACTGTGTTTCTAGGCATCAGCATATAAAATTTGAATTCGAGAAAAATTCTTTCTCGAACAGATCTCCTTTGTCCCTAGGCATCATCATATAAAATTTGAGCCAAATCCGTTCACTCGCAGGCTGGTATCGAAAGATTTGTCCGCTGTGACGGAGCATGCTATTTTTCATAAAAACACTAAGAATGCTTCACATTTTATTTTTTAACTCATATGTTTCGTTACATCAAAGAACATTACTTACTCCATGCAATGGATATATCATTTGAGGATAACCTTCACTTCTGTTTGAAGTCCAATAACGTTAGGAGTAAACGCTATTGAAAACGGCGCCAGAGTATCAAACTCCAAAATGTACCATTTCCTTTTAATGGCATGATATAGTGACACGATAATATTAAAATATGTTTTCAGCATAGCTCTGAATGTATTAATGAGATGTTAATGCATTAGGGCTTTTAAATTTTTTTATAAAAAATAATTCTAATATTTTTTATCCGCTATGACGGAGCATTTTCACAGTTTACATTTGCAACTGCTCCGTCACAGCGGACAAAAAAATTAAACATTATTTTTGCATAAAGACTTAAAAAGACCAAATACATCACCATCTCATTTATACTTTCATAGTAATGCTGAAACCATGTATAAATATTATTGTGTCACTATATCATGCCATTAGAAAGTTAAACAAGAAATGGTACATTTTGAAGTATGATACTCCGACGCCATTTTCAATAGCTTTTCTTCCCAGCGTAATTGGACTTCAAACAGAAGTGAAAGTTACCAGAAAATGATATATCCATTGCATGGAGTAAGTTATTTTCTTTGGTATAACGAAACATATAAGTTAAAAAATAAATCGTGAAGTATTCTTGGTGTTTTTATGAGAAATAGCATGCTCCGTCACAGCGGACAAATATTTCGATACCAGCCTGTGTCACTGGTATTTGAGTTATCAAAGATTACCTTTTTTACGAAAAATGGCCGCCATTTTGAATATCAAGCCGCCATCTTGAAAATTCTTTCTTGAACAGATCTATTGTGTCCCTAGGCATTATCATATAAAATTTGAGCCAAATCCGTTCACTGGTATTTGAGTTATCAAAGATTACCTTTTTTTTACGAAAAATGGCCGCCATTTTGAATATCAAGCCGCCATCTTGGAAATTCTTTCTTGAACAGATCTATTGTGTTCCTAGGCATTATCATATAAAATTTGAGCCAAATCCGTTCACTGGTATTTGAGTTATCAAAGATTAAGTTTTTTTACGAAAAAAGGCCTCCATTTTGAAATCTAGCCGCCATCTTGAAAATTTTTACTCGAACATATCTACTGTGTCCCTAGGCATCAGCATATAAAATTTGAACCAAATCCGCAAACTAGTATTTGAGTTATTAAAGATTACATTTTTTACGAAAAATGGCGGCCATTTTGAATTCAATGGCCATATTGAAAATTCCTTCTCGAGCAGAGGTCCTACACCCATAAGGCATAAGTCTATAAAATTTGAATCAAATCCGTGAAACGGTATTTGAGTGATCGCCCGGACAAACAGACGGACGGACGGACGGCTTTCCTATATCCCTCACAAACTTCGTTCGGTGGGATAATGATTGTATATATAATCAGGCCTGTCAACTTGGGAACACCTAACATGAGTGACTTGGAAATGTTGAACACCTCCCCTCAAAATGTGGACACCTTTGTCCAAATCTGAAAAAGGTACGAAAAATTTCGAAGGGAATGCGTGACATATATGCAATTCGCGTGAAAAGTCCGAACGAAATGCATACATTTTTTTCCGGCGTTCGTATTTTTGCTGTGAAGACGATCTTTTTAAAAAAAATTTCTACATAAATATTTTTGCTTGACAATTACCAGGTAAAATGCGTATTTGCGTGACATTTTCTGTCACGCAAAAATAACTGGCGTGACTTCAAATTCTTCAGCAAATGCGTGACAAATACGCAAATTGCGGGACAGTTGACAGGCCTGTATAATGGAGATTTACAACAGAATCATGATTAACAAAGAAATTGTAATTATATCAAACCAAAAAATGAAGCCCTATTAACCCTAATAGCTATCAAAATTCTAAAGAGTAGGAATTTAACCCAACTACTTCAATTTCAATAATGCATAAGGTATTCTAAAATGTCAGGTTGATTAAATTCAATGAAGTATAATAATGTAGTCAGGGAGATATGACCTTTTACAAGAGATTTTCTTAAAGTTCATTGGATTCTGATGGATTAATAAATTGTGCAAATGTTAAGCTCATTCTTCTTGACAAGTCCTGAAAAAATATTTGAAAAGCTCCGTAAAATGTACACATGAACATGGGGAGAAAGTCACCCCTCCCTCTTATATTCTATATATCAATATGATTTACTCCCCTTGATTATGAATGTGATATTTTGCATTGATAGTTGGCAAGGAGTTGAATTGATAGTTTTCAAGGTTGAAAATTTCCTCAAAGTTGCTGAGTTTTCTGCATGCTGGAAATTCACCAAAATGTCATTTGCCAGAAGGGGATCTTAGCGTCACTGTTGCATAGCATCATTCTACAACCGTGATTCAGTTTCACATAAGGCCAATGTGTGTGTAATCATAGTGATTTTACATAAATCAAATCCCCCTGTCATATCCCTATCATATAACTGTCAAAGGCCAACTCATAACTGACAAGTAATTTATCCAAATCTACACCAAATTGACAATCTAATTGCATGTAATTGACTTTTTGCATCTCTAAAAATCTTGCAATACCAAGATATATAACTCGGGAATTCTCCAAGCTTGTCTAGAGCATGTTGACACAATGGTGAGAGCCATTCAACTGGATGAAACTGTGTCAGTAAAATATCAATACTCACAGGATTCGTTTAATTTTTGATAGATGATAGTTGTTAGAGCAACGTTATGCTTCATTGTCTCATAAGGTATACCATAGAGAAAATGAACAATTGTTTCATCTAAACACAGTGATCCATGAATGATTTAAGGACCTTGAAACCAACGCTTTGGTCACAAATGAAATATCACTAATAAAATGACATGCCATAAACTGAGAGTGCAAAAATTAGATACACAATGAGCAATATACATAAATGACATAAATAGCACATTTCATTTAAATAAGATAGAGAAAAACTATGTTATCAACATGACCATCACATACTTGTTCAGCCACAGATGATGTGTAGAGACTGAGGAAATAGAGTGAATGTTATGGACTTCTTTAATATTATCCATGGGATTAATAAAATGTTCATATTTCATTTTAGTTGCAGCTAAGTGTACATTTAACAGTGTCCCCATGTCCATAATTTAGTAAAGATTGGCCAATAAATAAACCAATGCTCTGACCTTTTGAGACCACAAAAGGTTGCAAACAGACAATATTTCCAAATTTGTATTCTAATCATCCAATAGTAAGAAAATAAATCTCAGTAAAAGAGAGAATTCTGCAGGAAACAAGGTACCATTACACTTGGATATAGTTTACATTGATGAAATGTCTAAGTTGGCTTTGAAATATGGACCAGTAGTACAAATGTGTACAACATAATGCCTCTTGCTGGCTGTATATTGTTTTGTATCAAGAATATACTCTGGACATTGTTCTCTATATCAACGCTGTATAAATCAAAAGTGAGTAAATGTTGAATTTGAACATGAGTTGAAACATCCTCATATGGCTTCCTTGTTGTGGCATATAAAGCATTATCAGCATAGAAACAAAAAATAAACAACTGCAACAACCAATTTTAAATGACAAAACAAACAAACAACAGCTAGTATGTGGATGTGGTATAGAGCCAAATGTTCACATTACAAATTGTTCCAATTGGCATTCAGTGGACTATCAGCCTACCTAAGAATGGTTTGCTTATCATTTAGTAAGGTTGCTGAAAAAAGTCACAAATACAAGTATGTTATCATTAATGACAAACTATCTATGATAGGCCCTTGCCTTAATGCTTTGTCGTTTGTGTTTTGGGATATTGGTGGTTTGTTTTCCTATTTCCCTTTGTTTCTATTTTTGTAGTACTATTTAGTGGTGCTCCGCGGTTCTAGGGCCTCGGTCGGTACGTTCGGTTCGAAAACTCTGATGTTCGGTTTTTTAACGGTTCGTTAATTCAGAAAAAAAGTGCCGTTCGCTAAAGTTGAGGAATAGAAGATGAATCTCGAAACGAGAGGTCAAGATTTCGGCATTCAAAGTCGTATAAGGCCCATTGTTGGGGTTATTTTGGATTTCCAACGAGAGATGGTGTTGAATACATTAGTTAGATGAAGTGTCAATTTGAGTTATTTGATTTTTTACATTAAAGTGCGATAAGAAGTGCGATAAGATAAGGCATTAAACCTACATTGATATAGTAATGGGTCTATAACCTGGGGCTTCTTCTATAACAGTTAAAAGGTTAGTTTACCACTACATATACATATAACTAGAATTAGTACATGTAATTATAAGATGTTCTCCAATGTTTATTGTCACTTGAGGTTTACAAACATTTCAAAGTTGCTCATTGCAATAGGAATTTCTGGAATTATTATCAAGCGTCTAATGGTAGGTAAAAATAAATGAATAGCCATAGAATTTATTCATGTTCATTTAGAACTAGAATGACAAAATAGTATTCATGTTCATTTATTTTATTATAAATTTTTACATCTTTTAGATAGAAAATTTGAGAACACAGTGATATATATTTTTGTATACAAGTATCTTTTAATATTTGGAAGGCATTTCTTCACAATGCTGCTTAAATTAAACTAGCTTTAAAATTATATTGTGAGACAAAAATTTTATAAATATTCCAAGCTCACAATTCCAGTATACAGTGATTCAAAAGAAAGTAGCATATGTCAATAGTAATTTTGCAAACAAAAGGCCCAAAAAACTAATATACGAGGGTTGTCCCAGAAGTAATGCACTATATGCTATATGTACGTAGAGTATATATGTACCATTTATATATTTTAAGCTTACTGTTGGTATTGGAAGGAGTCTCATTCACAGTGATGGGAATGCAACATATTCAGATCAGGTGACACAAAAGAGAAGACTGTTTGTATATACAAATAATCTATATGACCAACACTTCAGAGCAAAGAGACCACTGGAAGCCACAGAAGAGATGCTTCAAAGACTCCAAATCCCTCCACCAAAATCTTCATTTGTTGAGCTGTCAGAAGAAATGCTTCAGAATTTTGTATTCGTAACAGCATCATCAAGGAATCATTTTAATGAGAGTTTGGATCTGATAGGTAGCATACAGACCTATTATCCTGACCGAGACATTTATTACTATGACATTGGCCTTGAAGATGAGAATGTGGCAAAGATTAAAACAATGTGTAGAGTGAAGTACAGGCAGTTTGACTTTGAGGCGTATCCACCACATGTCTCCATTATAAAGACCTATGCCTTTAAGCCACTCATAATCAAGGTACAGTACCTCTGGCACATAATTTTGTATCAAGATGCCATTCAATTGGAAATGATCAATATCATTCAGAATCTGTTGAAATAAGAAAGTGATATTTCTTGTTTAATTATGCAGAAGTTATATATTATTTAAGATTTTTGTCATATTGTACATATATGTATTAAGGGAGTTATGCTTTATATATTTAGGAGATGATGACAGAGCACAGAGTGGGTGTATTCTGGGTTGATGCCTCAATTCGTATTAAAACAGGGGGAACAGAGACACTATGGATGAAAATGAAAAACGGAAATGGACTGGTACTTTTTATTAATAAATTTACAAATCGAATATATGCTGTGACCCACCCTGATATGTATGAGTTTCTCCAAGCAGATGAGCAAGAGATGAGAAGACGCAATACATATGGATGTGGTGCACTTTTTTGTGTTATGTGCATTAAATGCACAATGCATTATACCAGATGGTTCTAAAAAACAATGTGACGAAAAGCAAAAAGATATAAGTGCTTATCGGAATTGTCATAGATTTGACCAATCTGCTTTGAACATTCTCATTAGCAACATGTACAATTTTCAGGGAAGTTTTCAGGCTGAAATTTGTGACACTAAAAAGCTCTCTGTTATAAGAGGGGAAACAGAAAACAAGTTTGAATTAAACTTCTGTGTGTAACATCAGCATTGTGGACCTTTATGAAGCCATAACAAGGAAATTTGTTTAGAGAAACCATCATTAATGCCTATAAAATTGTGTTTTTATAAAGTAGATGTTATAGAACATGTGTAGTTAGAACTTTCTCAAACTTGTTGATCCAGTTCTCTTTATATGCTGGAAATTCATCAGCTTCATTTGCTGAAGGAAATCAACCCTTGCATTGGTGGACTTGGTTGGAGGGCCCTTAAACTTGGCAACAGAAGAATTGTATATACAAAAAACTGATATGACATTTTGGGGCATCATTTTTTTAATTTTGGGCCTAATTCAGAAAAAAAACATTTCTCAATTTTCTCAAACCTTTTCAATTTTTTTTGGACCCACTCTCCTCTTGCCCATTTGATTTCAAGGACTGCCTCTACCTTACATCGAAGAACAATTTGAGCATAAGTATTTTTTACATGAGTCAAAGCCTCCTGTCATATCACCATTATGTAATCATCAAAGGCTAGCTCATGGCAATGGTCAATGAATGAAAAGTTTTAAAAACTGAAGAGTATAGTACAAAAATTGAATTAGTATTAAAAATTAAACAGACATAGATGATGAATAAATGTTACATTGTTAAGAAATATAAAAATTCCAATGAAATATCATAGAGGAAGGTACATGTATTCTATAAACACAATCATCATATGCTAGTTCAGCCATAGATGATTTGTAAAGTAGAGACTGAGGAAATAGAGTGAATGTTATGAACTACGAATTATCCATATGATTAATAAAATTCATTTTTTTCATTTTGTTGCCAGGTCCATCATGACCGAGACATTTATTACTATGACATTGGCCTTGAAGATGAGAATGTGGCAAAGATTAAAACAATGTGTAGAGTGAAGTACAGGCAGTTTGACTTTGAGGCTTATCCCCCACATGTCTCCATTATAAAAACCTATGCCTTTAAACCACTGATAATCAAGGTACAGTACCTCTGGTACATAATTTTGTATCAATATGCCATTCAATTGGAAATGATCAATATCATTTAGAATCTGTTAAAACAAGAAAGTGATATTTCTTGTTTAATTATGCAGAAGTTATATATTATTTAAGATTTTTGTCATATTGTACATACTCGTATATGTATTTAGGGAGTTATGCTTTATATATTTAGGAGATGATGACAGAGCACAGAGTAGGTGTATTCTGGGTTGATGCCTCAATTCGTATTAAAACAGGGGGAACAGAGACACTATGGAAGAAAATGAAAAATGGAAATGGACTGGTACTTTTTATCAATAAATTTACAAATCGAATATATGCTGTGACCCACATTGATATGTATGAGTTTCTCCCAGCAGATGAGCAAGAGATGAGAAGACGCAATGAATATGGATGTGGTGCACTTTTAATATACAACACCAAATTTGCTTATGAACATTTCTTCAAATGGTTTGTGTTGTGTGCATTAAATGCAGAATGCATTAAACCAGATGGTTCCAAAAAACAATGTGATGAAAAGCAAAAAGATATAAGTGCTTATCGGAATTGTCATAGATTTGACCAATCTGCTTTGAACATTCTCATAAGTAACATGTACAATTTTCAGGGAAGTTTTCAGGCTGAAATTTGTGACACTAAAAAGCTCTCTGTTATAAGAGGGGAAACAGAAAACAAGTTTGAATTAAACTTCTGTGTGTAACATCAGCATTGTGGACCTTTATGAAGCCATAACAAGGAAATTTGTTTAGAGAAACCATCATTAATGCCTATAAAATTGTGTTTTTATAAAGTAGATGTTATAGAACATGTGTAGTTAGAACTTTCTCAAACTTGTTGATCCAGTTCTCTTTATATGCTGGAAATTCATCAGCTTCATTTGCTGAAGGAAATCAACCCTTGCATTGGTGGACTTGGTTGGAGGGCCCTTAAACTTGGCAACAGAAGAATTGTATATACAACAAACTGATATGACATTTTGGGGCATCATTTTTTTAATTTTGGGCCTAATTCAGAAAAAAAACATTTCTCAATTTTCTCAAACCTTTTCAATTTTTTTTGGACCCACTCTCCTCTTGCCCATTTGATTTCAAGGACTGCCTCTACCTAACATCGAAGAACAATTTGAGCATAAGTATTTTTACATGAGTCAAAGCCTCCTGTCATACCACCATTATGTAATCATCAAAGGCTAGCTCATGGCATGGCAATGGTCAATGAATGAAAAGTTTTAAAAAGTGAAGAGTATGGACAAAAATTGAATCAGTATTAATAATTTAACAGACATACATGATGAATAAATGTTATATTAATAATAAATATTAAAATTCCAATGAAACATCATAAAGGAAGGTACACATATACTATAAACACAATCATCATTTGCTAGTTCAGCCTTAGAGGAAATAGAGTTAATGTTATGAACTAGGAATTATCCATAGTATTAATAAAATGTTCATATATTTCATTTTGTTGCCAGGTCCATCATGGCTTGGAGAACAGATAATTTTTCCAGTTTTGTATTCTAAGCATTCGATATTTTGAAAATAAATCTGAAGAAAGAAATATGGACAAAATGAGACTGGTCTAATGAATGAGAAAGCTTTAAAAGCCATCCCTCAAATGTAAAGCTGACTTGCCCCTTTGAGCATTGGCTACATTCATCTGTCTGGAGTAATGGGAGTTATACCATTTATTTCTCTTATATTCTAGCCAAAAGGATTAGTGTCTGGATAAAGTCAAAATAAAACCTATGGTCACGGTAAGGACAGCTATGTATGCCTGTATTTCAAGTTTCATCCTTAGACCAGGAATAAATTCTTGCATCAGGATTTTATTGTATGAAAGAGTATTTTAATTCTAAAACCATGTAAATTTTCATACTTAATAGCTAAAAATAATAGACCTTTTTGTTGATTTTGCCACCTTTTGCTGTTGACAAACAAACAAGACACTATTTTTCCTACTTGGCCTAATTGTGCCATTTATTCTCCTCTCTGAACCTTAATTAAATTCCAGATTTTCTGACTTTTATATATTTCAGGGAATCAATTACTAATATAAACACTTATATAAGTATTAACTTCTATAAGCACTTTACATTTAGAAAGCCTTAGTACCTAGTACCTTTTAGAAAGAAGGTATATTTTTGTCATTGAAGCATTTTACATGCAGGGTAAGATGTAAATGCAGCATTATCAATAGCATCTAGGAGAAATAATTTTTCTATCTTTTGTTGTATTTAGCATACAACTGTTGATAATGCCTTACATCCCAATTGGGAGCAGTAAAATATAATTATCTTGACATATACTGCTATATAAAGAGAAATTAAGCACAAATTAGACATAACATCAAAATGTTTTATTGCAAATATATGGATTTATCTTGTCACAAGATTCCTCTTATGCCTGGAGGTTTCTCTGTTCATCTCATTTTCTTTAAAAGCAACGTATACATTATATACACAGGGGTACACATGTCTCAAAGCTTTTAATGTAAAAGCTTGCGATTTCATCTAAAGTTGATTATTCATCATCATTCAAAATATTCAAAAGTATAAAGCATAGAATTAACAACAAAATGGTTCAGTTCAGTTCTTGTTGTAATATCAGTGCAAGGTAGTAAAAATCAAAAAGCCATTGTGGGATCCAGTCTTAATACATGTACTATCCTTTGGAATAGATACATGAAGTGTCTCTGATAAATTAAAATCTATAAAAGAAGTGCATCTATAGATTATCAAATAGTCCAAGGGTCCAATTTCACTTCTTTCCTGAATTGAAGAATAAATGAAGCCCTTAGATGAATGATGCAATACAGGGAGATACCTTGATCTTAAGGTACTCAGTGATTTTGTAGCTACTGTCAAAATCAGTCATATTAACAACTTCTGACTATACCTTGTCATGTTAATAACCTCTGACTACATCTGTCACATTGGCAACCTCTGACTACATCTGCCATGTTAACAACTTCTGACTATACTTGTCATGTTAACAACCTATCACTTACTTTGTCACGTTAACTAAGTCCGATTTTTATTGACTTTGTCAACATTTCTAGAAAAGTGTGGGCCAGTTCTCCATTAATACAATTTCAAAAATCTTTTAACTTATTAAATTTATTTGTCATTTCTTCATTCAATTAGTTCAAATTGTATCTTTAAACAACTGTTCTAATTCTCAACTATGTGTCTTATTGCATTGAAAAGAAACGGCATGCATAATTTAACATCTTTCACTTCTAAAACAGCATAAAATCTGACAATATCATCACCTTATGCTATAATAATACGACTTCAATACTGAACGTATGTTTTCATTAATATAATATTACAGATTCAATTGATGAATATTTTTCTTTTCATTCTTTTCTTGTAAAATACCTTTTTAACCAATCAGCAAGTGATTTAAGACCTCTGAATTAACATTTTGTGAACTTTCACCATCCTAAAAATATTTGAAACACCTTCAGTTCAATTTCACTTCACAATAGCTCAATGTCAGAAAATCAAGCTGAGGAAATAATAACTGTACTTAAAAGAACTATAACCACGTTTATCTTCATTCATACCAAATGGGTTTCTTAATAGAATAAGAACTTCTTCATAATATCTAAGGGATAGGGGGAGACACTCACGTTTCTTTGTATGCTAGATCATTTTTGGGATATTTGGAGTTTCCTATCTCATTGACTTTATGTTGAGAATGAAATATGAGCCCTCAAAGTGCAACTTAGTGCACATAATAATTACAAAACAAAAGACTTAAAAGTGCAAAACAAGGAAACAAGTGAGGGGAAGCACCTGAACAGCAGTCTGTCGTAATTCAAAATATATCAGACAAAGTGAGAGTACGGATTAACCCCTATGGTGTCAATATTCTAGAATATTCACTTTCAATTTATTTATTAGCAATCACTTTTGTATACCATTTATTCTGTAGTCACACATATTGTTTATCTAAAGCTTTTAGACAGGAAAAGTTCAAACATTAAGTCAAGGTTTTATCTATATTACTTCTTTTCTTATACAATTCTAAAACATAACATAACTCAGTCCTACCCTGAAATCAAACGTTTGACTACTACAAATGATTCATATTTTCATAGTGGTGAAATCTGATCTCAAATGAAGCATTTTATGGGTGTTTATGTGGGAAATGAATGTCAGGTGCTTTAGCTAGAATTGTAGTGTAGTGTAGAGTAGTGTTGATATTCTTACTGACAAGATCAGACAATAATTAAAGATTAGGCTCTGGTGTTTACTATATATAAATGGTAATTGCAATAATTTAAAGCATGTATTACACTATTACCATTTCTTAAAGAATGATATCTCAAACCTGGTTGTTTTTTGAAATCTCCTAATTTTCACAATATAGATTACATATACATGTGTACTGACATTTTAAAAGACAACCACCAAGAAAAAGATCACATAACAGGTGTAGGAAAAGAGAAAACAAGTCTCACAGGTGAGCAGGCACGCACCAGGCAGGCACACACATGATTAATCATTATGTACCCATTATTTATGAAATATTACAGCACCTACATGTACCTACAGTATGATGTACTCCAAAAAATATTTCTTGGGAAGTAAGAACATACTTTTAAATATTTTGTTTCATAAAACACTAACACAATAATCTATAATAAATGGTCACTCATCATTGCTTTCCAATGGGGCTAGAGACACAACTGAATCAAGCTCTTCTGCAAATATTATTTGTTTGTTGCCTAATTTAAATGACTTCAGCTGACCTCCAATAGTCTAAGAAGGACTTCTAGTGGGTAGAAGGTTTATTCAGGAACTGAAAATTCCTACACTTTTGGCCTGTACTGTATTTCCATTGAGAAAGACTTCTAGTGGGAAGAGGGTTTATTCAGGAAATGAAAATTTCTACACCTTTGGCCTGTACTGTATTTCCATTGAGAAAGACTTCTAGTAGGAAGAGGGTTTATTCAGGAAATGAAAATTCCTACACCTTTGGCCTGTACTGTATTTCCATTGAGAAAGACTTCTACACCTACATCTTTCCATGTTGAAATGGACCATGGTCATACCATGGCATACCATGGTATGTGGCCATGAAATGCAATGAAATACCATGGTAATACCATGGCCGATCATGATCTTTAAATGGCACTATTGCATTTCATGGTTAACAGCGCGAGATTTCCATTGAAAAGATACTGCCGTTTCGCAGTATTTCATGGTCAGAAACCATCAAATGCAATGACATCATGGTCAAAGCTCTCGACCATGAAATGTCATCAACCATGATAAATGATGGTCAGGTACATTACAATGAAATATCATGGTATGACCATGGCATTTGATTGTCACATCGTACAATAAAATACTATCAACCATGATATATAATGGTAATACCATGGTAAATGATGGTCAGGAACATGGCAATAAAATACCATGTTATGACCATGGTATTCGATTGTCACATCTTACAATGAAATGCCATCAACCATGATATACCATGGTAATACCATGGTAAATGATGGTCAGGAACATGGCATTGAAATACCATGGTATTTGATTGTCACATCTTACAATGAAATGCCATGAAATGCCATCATCCATGATATACCATGGTAATACCATGGTACATGATGGTCAGGAACATTGCAATGAAATACCATGATAATACCATGGTATTTGATGGTTAACTTTGAACATGAAATACCATGAAACATGATATAACATGATATAACATGGTATACCATGGTCAGAAATTGACCAAAAAACATCATTGCCACCATGGTCAGAGTTGGTGGTAATTTCATTGCCGATCATGATAGACCATGGTAAACCATGGTATCATGATTAACGTTTAAACATGGTTGGCCCGTACTGTATTTCCATTGAGAAAGACTTCTAGTTGGTAGAAGGTTTATTCAGGAAATGAAAATTCCTGTACTTTATTTTTGAGACCTCTAATACCTAATTTTAGAAAATTTTATACCTTAATTTATCCCATCAGAAATATTAATGTTTTGGTGTTTATAGATCTCATATTTTACCTTGGTTCAGAATCACCATTCAGACAGACACTTCCCAGACTTTTTTGTTTTATTGTTTTTATTATGACCCAAGAGTGTTACATGCCTATATGCAATGCAAGTCTCAATAATGGTTTGAGGCTTTATAGTTATGTCAAAGTCATAACATTAAACAAAGATAAATGTGCCCTATTTTCATAGTTTACTTACAAAAGATACCTACATAATATATGATGTTGTCTTATTTTTACTGTAAAGTTAGGTATAAAAATATTTTAAAATTGTTCGTCACCATAGGAATTTTCGGAATTATTATCATGCATCTTATGATGAACAATTACAAGGTAAGCCAAGAAGCTACAGAATTTAACTTCTCTGCATAATTTTCTCACTTGAAAAAAAAACACATCCAATACATATTAAAAATATTGGAAAACTGAAAAATAAATTTCAATTTGCAAATTTTTTTTTATTCAGCTCTTTTGATCCATTCCCCTTGAACAATTTGCCTTTCAATAATAAGTACATGTTAATGCAAAACATACAATTTTTATTTTCTCTTATGACACAATTATATTTTCCGGATGAAGTTTTTTAAAATGGTTTGACACAGAACATCTGACTTCAAATTGGAACAATTCTGGCTCAATCCTGGATTAGAATACGCAAATTTTGCTATTACAACTTGTTAACTTATTTACTTTAACTAGTTGTGAATTTCTTTACCAGGAGGGTCACAATCTGATTAAGCCCATTAATAAGTATATGGCCTTCAAACTATTTCATATGTATTCATTTTAATCGATGCATTATGTAAGAGGCAGTGATGTTTAAAACTCATAATTTTACTGGAATAATTGACAACAAATGCCTCTGCGGCTCTACTGAAGACACAAAGCATTTCATTCTAACCTGCCCTCGCCATACCCATGAACGTAATAAAATGATGACTGCACTTCGTGAACAAAATTTATTGTTTGATACTCAACTTATTTCTAGTAAGACAGAACAGGTCAAATACTTAATTTATGAAAATGAACTCACTATTGATTCTCAGAAAATCCTGATAGATATAGTGATGCAATTTGTACAGGCCTGTTATAAGTTTCCATCAAATTAATGTTTTTCTCATTTGTATCTTGTGACAACCCCCCCCCCCTCCCTCCCAACCTCTCACATTACCAATAAACCATCTATGATTACTGTAATTAATCCTCTATTGTAATTTAAACTACCTAGAATGCCTATGGCGATTGGTAGTAGATATTTTGTGTATTTTTTTGATTATGAAGGAAATAAATAATATGTTAAAAAAAAAAATGTTTAAAACATGTAGATTTAGATGGTACTCTTTATAAAATATCATAATCCCAATCCTCTGGGACCAAACTTCAAAGTATGCACATAGTTTTATCAAACTGGACTGATATTCTTTATTTTAAGCTTATTGTTGGAAGGAGTCTCATTCACAGTGATGGGAATGCAACATATTCAGATCAGGTGACACAAAAGAGAAGACTGTTTGTATATACAAATAATCTATATGACCAACACTTCAGAGCAAAGAGACCACTGGAAGCCACAGAAGAGATGCTTCAAAGACTCCAAATCCCTCCACCAGAATCTTCATTTGTTGAGCTGTCAGAAGAAATGCTTCAGAATTTTGTATTCGTAACAGCATCATCAAGGAATCATTTTAATGAGAGCTTGGAACTGATAGGTGGCATACAGACATATTATCCTGACCGAGACATTTATTACTATGACATTGGCCTTGAAGATGAGAATGTGGCAAAGATTAAAACAATGTGTAGAGTGAAGTACAGGCAGTTTGACTTTGAGGCTTATCCACCACATGTCTCCATTATAAAGACCTATGCCTTTAAGCCACTCATAATCAAGGTAATGTGCAGAACCTTTGCACTATCTCTTGAACCCATATACATGTACATATAATAATTTTTTATCCTGATGCCTTTCAACAGAGGACTTTTTTTTATAGAAATCTAGTTTATTGTTTTTATGGGGATTTTAAGAGATTTGCATATCAAACCTCCTTTTTAATAGCATATTTGAATTCAGTAAAATATAATACATAAAGTTATGTTATCTAAATCATTTTCAATGACTTTCTCAACTTTTCTAAAAAAAGGTGTGGGCCAAATCTCCATTGATGCAATGTTACCTTGGTTTATTCATTTGACAACCAAAATCTCCATGATTAATCACAATATATATATTGACAGGGTCATCCCATCGTAAGCCATGCATTGGAGTTGATAAATCAAGAAATTAAGTGACTATTGCAGGTTTTTAACATAATAAGCCTATGGCAGTCTGGGCCAACAAAATAAATAATAAATAAAAATCAGTGGTAACATCTATTTATTCAGCTATATAGCAACTCCCTTATTGAAAACAATCAATTTCATTTGGAATTTATTGAAATGATTTTTTTCTAATTAATAACAAAATCTAAGGAGTATTTGTAATTAATATTATATACATAATTTATAAGAATTGTGTTTTTAGGAGATGATGACAGAGCACAGAGTAGGTGTATTCTGGGTTGACTCATCAATTCGTTTCAAAACAGGAGAAACAGAGACACTATGGGAGAAAATGAAAAATGGAAATGGACTGGTGCTTTTTATCAACACATTCATAAATAAAATATCTGCTGTGACCCACCCTGATATGTATGAGTTTCTCCCAGCAGATGAGCAAGAGATGAGAGGACGCACTACATATGGATGTGGTGCACTTTTAATATACAACACCAAATTTGCTTATGAACATTTCTTTCAATGGTTTTTATTATGTGCATTAAATGCACAATGCATCGCCCCAGTTGGTTCTAGAATCAAATGTGATGAAGAGAGTAAAGATAGAAGTGCTTACAGGAATTGTCATAGATTTGACCAATCTGCTTTGAACATTCTTATAAGTAACATGTACAATTTTTGGGGAAATTTTGAATATGAAATTTGTGACACCACACGATTATTTGTTACGAGAAAGGAAACAAACATGTTTGAATTGAATTTCTGTATGTAACAATAGACTTATGGACCTTTAAAATGAAAACTAGAGAATAATTCATATTAGGTTGTACTGTATTAAGATGAGGGCGATTCACAATTGGTACAAATGTGTTTGAAGAAGTGAACCAGTATTTGAGCTATTACACAGATCTATGTATGGATTAATAGATGAATGCATGGACAGACAGACGGACGTCATTTGTTGCTGCTACATCAGTGTCTTCAGTCGTTGTCTTCTTTCTTCTTTATTGTCTTTTTACTTCTTTCTTTGTCTTGGTTGTCTTGTATTTGATTGTGATGTTAGTCATTTTCATTTCTTCAGGGTCCAGACTTGAGGGTTAAACATTTTGATCTAGCCAGAAAACGGACGGACGGATCAACGGACATCTTGTAATATATAGATACACTGTCCCACATGTTTTGTTAAAGAGCAACTAAAGCATACAATCTTTCCACAAAGATAAATTCAGACCAACATTTAGATATCTACATCATGTAGGTATATTATAATTGATTTTATTTATTTGTCATATCCAGTATTTAATTTATTATAGGTTTAACCCATATTAATATTGAAGTCATATTTGGTAAGATAAAAATCCACATTAGATATAAAAGCAGGTTCCTCAGGCTTGTGACTGGGCATAGGTGGGTTTAACGTTTTAGTCCATGGAAACACTCCCCTTCCCTGCATGGATTCAATAAATAAGACATAACTGGGTCCCTGAACTATATTAACAAGTCCATGAACGCTTCAGTGTATGGTGTATAGTCTAAAACATATTATGTATATTTATTTTATTTAAAAATTATGTTTAACCTGTTAGGGTATGGGATTAATTGACTATTTAGACAGCATGTGTATAAACCGGAAAAATTTTGTATAGTTTAAAGTCATTTTCGGACCACTTACCAAAATACTCCAACTCAGCCACATCAATATTGGTACACAAAGTCAATAAAAGGGGAAAGTGCAAACCACAAAGGGAATTAAGCATACAAAGAGGAAAAAGAGGAAAAGGAGGAAAAGCAGGAAAAGCAAGTAGAGCGTTAAAAGTGCAAACTATCTGGTCACTCCAAGCAACCAACACCAGGGAAATAAAGTATGAGAAGGGTCTCCGTGATCGTGCAGACGGATTGACAAACTCCAATAACCTTTAAAGTTCATTGCACTACTACAGTATTAAGGATAGAGCTATAGGAGGAAGAATTAATTTGAATATCACTTGGTAGATCTATCACAGTATGGAAATGGAATAAAACATCCAATTCTATAATACACAAATTAGGCTTGGATGTGGATGAATATGTTTTTAATGACTTAAAATGTAATGACTTAAGTATGAATGAAATGTCCATCGGTGTTACAGTCTCTAATTGTGATATTTGTACTTGAATTGTTGGGGAGGGGGTATTATACATTGTTGTTGTTTTTTCAAATAAGATTATGATTCGGAATAGTTGGTGTTTGTTTTGCTTCTCTTGTTGTGTTCTATAATAATTTTCTGGTCCTTTCCCATTGGCATGTGTGCATATTTCTGTGATAAAATAAAGTCAATTAAATTTTCATCGTTGAAGTTTCAAATCAATCTGGAAATTCATTATTTTGCAAAAAGTGTAATAATTGTTACAGTTGCCAAAGCTGATGCTGGTCACAAAACAATATCTATAACAATGACTGATGTCATAAAATTAGTAAATATTTCAATTTAATTGCAATACCTCTACTAATATACACCTATTGACACTCATGAAACTTCAAAAGGTGATGCCTTATACACTTCTACTGATTCTATTTGAAGGATTAATACTGTATGAACTAAAAAACATCTGAAATTAATATCCTATTAAGCCCCAACTTATATCTTAATATAGACTTCTAAATACACATAACAATGGAGATATGGATTCATAACTGACATGAAAGAAACTGATTAATGTAACACTCGAGAAAGAAGACCTTAAAATGTCACCATAGCCGGATCTAAAGTTGTAGGGACATAACTAAACATGATTCTTAACCAGCTCTGACTAATATGTGACACATGTTCCTGAAGTATGTGACTCAGATATTTAAGGTAGGGTACCTTATCTGTCAAGTACTGATTTAAACATTTTTATGAATGACTCTCAACTAGATATACGAGACATGCCCAGATGTAAAGGATAGTGATGGTGATATATCTATGTCAATACAAAGACAACAACCAAGTATATAATCAAAACAAAACATTTCAGAACTAGCATCATATATTAGATATAATACCAACCACAGCTCATTTTATAATTTTTATGATGCGATAGGATCTACTTTGGTGTGATCAGAGCTTAAGATAATCACACATTTTGAATTCATTTTTTTTGTGTAACACATACAATATTTTACAACCTTCCACTGAAAATGATGAAAATTGGTCTTTTTATTATAGTATATGAGATATTTACTGGACAGTCAATTGGACGGATACATGAATAATGGACTAATGGCTTTGCTATATCCCTAACAAACTTTGTTCCTTGGGATAATTAAAGATGATTAAACCTTGAAGCAATAATTCTATGGTACCCCTATATATTGTACCCCCAAACAGGTATATGCAACTTTTATGCATAGTAGTTCCATTTTATTGCACCCTCGTGGCATCCCCATATGGACATCAGCGGTGATCTCCCCAGCATTGAGTCAAGTGTACACAACAGAGAGGGTGAAAACATTTAAGTATAATCTATAAATGAATGGTACCATGGGTACTGCGCTCACATAGGAAAGTTTCAATATGTTTAATGTTTCACCGTAGGAACTTAGAATAAATTAAGTTTTTGCACATTATGAAAGGTTGATAATAATTTTGTACTTGGCTAGCTGAAATGAAAATACCATTTTCTATAATGAAATTGGAACAGAGGAATTTCACAATCACACTAAAAAGTAGGTTTATTCATGATTTTTATGCAATAAAAGTGGCGGCCATTTTGAAATTTGCAACATATTTTGCCTAAACTTGTAAACAAAGTATTGATAACCCATAAATTAAGGTACCTGTACAATTTCAAGCAAATTGATGATCAAATAATTGTGAAGTTATGACAAAAAAACTAAAAACGTGATTTTTTTACAATAAAATTGGCAGCCATTTTGAACCTTTGCGACATATTTTGCTGAAGCTTGTAAACATTATTGATAACTTAGAAATTAAGGTAACTGTACAATTCTAAGCAAATTGATGGAATACTTGTGAAGTTATGATAAAAAAAGAGCTTAAAGCCTGATTTTCTGCAATAAGACTGTGGCAGCCATTTTGAATTTTTGCGACATGTTTTGCTGTTATGACCAAAGACAAACTGAAAACCTGATTTTTCCGCAATAAAAGTTGTGACCATTTTGAATCTTTGCAACTTCTTTTGCTGAAATGTGTAGGCCTTAATTGATAACCTATAAATTAAAGTACCTGTACTATTTCAAGCGAATTGGTTTGAAAACTTGTGGAGTCATAACCAAAAAAAGAGCTCAAAACCTTTTGAAATAAGGCAAGCTTTTGAGCCGCCACTTGCGAAACAATTGACAACCTCATATAGACACATTTTAAAAGTGAAATCGTTCTAATTGCTGTGGAGGATTTTGAATTAGCTGCCAATGTGTTGACAGACAGACAGATAGACGGACAGGCAGACAAGTGGACAATAAGAATAGCTCACCATGAGAGCCAAAAACTAAACAACATTATAACAAGGCATTAACATGACAAAATGTCACCACCTACAGTAGGTGCTCACAATATTATTAGTTCAATCTTAAGTCAGATTTGAATTTCTGAAAACTCTATAGATGAATTTGAAAAAGAATTGGTCAAATCTAAAGTCAGATTTGAACTCCTGAGAAATTGTAGATGATTTTGAAAAAATGGTCAATTTGAACTTCTGAGAACTTGTAGGCGATTTTGAAAAAGAAATTGATCAATTTGAAGCAAGTTGAAAAATTACCTTTTTGACATTGAGAAGGTCATTGAAGGTTAAATCTTTTTTGACCTAAAGAATGTCATAGAAGGTCAAATCTTTAGTCAGATATGAGTTTTTGAGAACTTGTAGATGATTTTGACCTTTCTTTGACCTTGAGAAGGTCATTGAAGGTCAAATCTTAAATCTAAAGTTATTGGAAGTTTTAAGAATTTGTTACAGACACCAACTGCCGCCCACCACCTGCCAACCAGCAACCGCCGCCACAAAAAACGGACACCATAACAATATGTTACCACTTCTTCATGGTGACATAATAACAATCAAATTAAAATCACACATTGACTTGCAGTTGGTCTGTATTCAAAGCAAAAAAAAATTGTGCAAAGAAAACTTTCAGTCCCAACATACACATGATACAATCAGCAAAAGGTACACAAAAATGATGAATATATGTTAAAGGTAAATGAACTCTTTAGAACAGGTTTATGATTAGTTAGGATAGCTTTATGAGCAACCATGTTATAACCCTTTCAACAAGGCAAACCTGAGTTGATTAATGGACAATAATCGGAAACTCTTGCACCAGGTTTGGAAATCCAGATGAGGTACCCATCCTAGTTTAAATGATTTTTTCAATTTCAGTCATTATAGAACTATGAAACATTCAGCTTTGTCCTAGTTTGGTGCATTATTTTAACACAAACATTTGCTGTAGCATTCAGAAATTTGCGGGATACTACCTGTTAATGACATTTTCTCAAACCACACCAGGAGAGCACAGACGGGAAACCCCCAGCATGCACCTAGATACACCATACAAAACATTAACCACAAGATATAATAAAACATAGCTGTCACTCTAGAACTAAACCACAAATATTATGATGATGGAATAGCTGGTAACCAGCAAAAAAATGACGAGAAGTTGAATATTTAGGAGAAATGTGAGTATTTGCTCTCCTGCTACTAAAGCGATAATCGTTCCAAAAAATTCATTTCTGTCTATTTGAGACATCAGATTGGGTCTCTGCCCACTGCCTCTCAACACCTTACTCGAGCCTCCCTTTTGCATCACTGGTACTATATTATAATTCTCCATTTCGCTGTTCGCTCTTTGAATCAGAACGTTCGCATATATGGTGCATATATGTACTCAAAAAGGACAAAATTTGATTGGTCAATATTTTTCAACGATGCATTTCGTGTAGCTATTTGTGAGACCCGAAAGTTCTAAATCAAATTAATTAC